GGCTGCCCCACGCCGAGCTGCTTCGTCTTTTCTCTCCTCATGAGTGAGGTGAAACTTGTCTTGTTCAGGTGTCCCCCAAGAAACCTTTAGCCTGACACCTGCCGGGCCTCCCCCGCTGTGCCTGGTGGGCACCCGTCTGCCCATCTGCCCTCTCGTTCCTCAGCCTGGCCGGGGTCTCCAGGGGCTGCTGGAAGCCTGGGCCGGGCCTTGCCCAGGACTGATGCAGATAAAGTGAATTAAAACCCAGGAGTCTCCCGAGGGGGTGACGGCCCCTGACTCCACAGCAGCTGTCGGGGACGCGGGAGAGAAGCCCCCCTCCTGCGCGGGGCCACAGAGAAATCCCCGGGGCCTGCGCTCTGTTTCCACCAGCCTGTTGAAGTCCCCTCGTAGGTCAGGCGGGTCCTGGCTGCTCACTGCGGTGTGAGGAGACCAAGGCTTCAATAAGTGACTCCTGGGATTCCTCGGGGTAAGAACAGGAGCTGGGATCCCTGGCCAGGCCACCCGTGGGTGGCAGCGGGCACCTGTTCTCGGCAACAAGTGGTCCTGGGCCTTGACGTGGAAACCGCCCCCCTGGCACTGGGGACCACTCGCGTCCTTGAAGGGGCTGAGAACAGGGTGCCAGCCCGAAAGGGCAGCGATGCGGTCACATGACCTGGGCGGGGGGGGGCGAGGAGCCGGGGCGTTGGCCGCGACTGTTGTGGTCCCCCGTCGGCGCTTTGGTGTCTGGAGCAAGAGCGCACCCACCCTCCCGGGCGTGTTCCCTCCTCAGTCCGTGCTGCCCGGCTCTCGGTGTTGATTGACAGCTTCAGCTGCCACCTCGGGTAAACAGCAGGATGAAGGGCAGCCGAGAGCACACTGGAGGTATTTTTAGCCGGGGGTGGTTCGGCAGGCGGATCAAGGAGAGAGGGTGCCTCACCCCAGAATAGCCCACGCTCAGCCTCGGCTACGGGCCCCGCGGCTGGCCGCCCCCCTAAGCACGTCCCGGCTCCACCCTTGACCCCCGGAGGGCCACCTCTGCAGAAACCAAAAACTACCTGTTGGGGGGCGGGGGCTGGGGAGGTCTCATGGCAGACACAGCCTGGGGCTTCCCGCTGGGAACTCTGGAAGACCACCTGCCCCGTGCCAGTGAGCAGCGGGCTGAGGCCGGCAGGAAGCCAGGGGAGAAAACCCAGGGTCCCAGCGATGCAGAGGCCACGCTGGGGGTGGGACGCTCGGAGGTGCACAGCCCACCCCCCGCTGCAGCCTCCCCGGCCCCTTGGGCTCCTCACAGCCGACTCACGGCCTCTGTGCTGTTTGCTCCACTAAAATAAGGAAAGGGGCTTTTTAGTTGTATATTTTACTTTCTCCAGAACTTTTTACATTTTTTGTTTTTAGATTTATGTACTCGGAAGTCAGAGTCACAGGGAGAAAGGGGGGAGAGAGAAAGAGACAGAATCTTCCACCCCTGGCTCACTCCCCAGATGACTGCGATGGCCAGGGCGGGGCCAGGAGCTTCCTCCTGGTCTCCTATATGCGTGCAGGGGCCCAAGCACTTGGGCCTTCCTCTGCTGCTTTCCTAGGCCCTCAGCAGGGAGCTGGATGGGAAGTGGAGCAGCCGGGACTCAAGCCGGCGTCCATGGGGGATACAGGCGTCTCGGGCAGCACCCCCCCCTTTTTGAAGGTGGATCCAGAATTCCTTCTGAAGAATGCTAATCCTCGTAGCACAGCTTTGCTGCCAGTGAATTCTCTCCGCACTTCCTCCTTTTTCTCTGAAAAAGGAGGAAAAAAAGGTCTTTATTTTTAAAAAATATTTTCTGAAAGAGTTAGAGGAGATAGCAAGCGCGCTCCATCCCCTGGTTCACTCTCCCGATGGCCTCAGTGGCCTGGGCTGTGTCAGGAGCATCACCTGGGTCGCCCACGTGGGTGCCAGGGGCCCAAGCGCTGGCACATCTGCCCCCCCCCAAGGCGCGTTAGCAGGGAGCCGGGTTGGAAGTGGAGCAGCCGGGACTCGGACAGGCGCCAGTGTAGGATGCTGCTGTTGCTGGTGGCGGCCTCTGCCGTTGCTTTGTCTTGTGTCCAGTCTGGTTTTCTCCGTGCTTGGACACCTGTCGCTGTCCCGGGGAAGGTCGCAGCTGTGACTGCTCCAGAGGCTGCCGGGCTCCGTGCCTCTCCCGGTCCTGCAGGAGGGCAGTGCCAGCGTTCCGGGTGTGGGCGGCTCGCGCGGCTCTCTACACCCCTCTTGCCTCCTTTGGGTTCGGGCGATTTCCCCAACTCCTGGGCGGCGCGCGGTCTGCAGATGAGTTCCGGAAGGAGCCCTGGGATAGCGTGTTCGCCACTTGTGTTCTGTCTGTCTGTCCTGGAATCCACTCTCCACCCCCGTCCGCGCGTACTGTCCCCTTCCCTGCTGGGCTCCGCCGTCCGTGTCATCTCCAGGCCCCTGATGGTTGCTTCTCCTGGGTCGTCTCTGAATCTGATTCCTGGGACTGCTTTGTGTCTTGACGCGGGGCTGTGAGTGGAAACTCGATCCTTTCCTACTGCATACTGAACGTTTCCCTGAAGAGCAGAGGAGGCGGCTGAGGCTGGAGCGGGAACAGGGAAGTCCCTCCACGAGGCCCTCAGAGGGGGAGCCGAGCTGGGTCTGGGATCTGTGGCTGCTTCAGGTCCCTCCCGCCTGGGTGCGGCCGCTGCTGGCTCAGAGCCAAGGCTGGGGTCCTGGAAGGTGCAGCCCCGCCCGGTCCCCGCCTGTCCCCAGCTGCTGGCTGTTTGTTCTGCAGCACGGGCGGGCAGGTGGGTGGGGGCGTGGAGGGGGCTCCCTGGCCAGGGGCCCTGCCCTCCAGCCTCCCTGTTCCCCCTGCTTGTCAGTGGCAGGACGCCTGTGTCTGAGGTCAGGGAAGCTTTACCCCATCCTGGGCCCGAGGGGTGATGGCCCTTGCTTTCCAGGAGTGAGGGCCCGCGGCCTGTGTCCCCCGCTCCAGCTGCAAGCTTTCTCCTCTGGGGCCAGGGGGGTCCACGTCCTGTGAGGGAGGGACTTGGGAAACCTGGAGCCACCGTTCCGTTCCCTCCGGTCAGCAGGGAAGCCTCGCAGGGGCAGCTGGGCGCTGTGGCGGCTGGCGTGGCCTGGTGCCACGCTCGCCGTGGGCTTGGGCGGAGTTGTGAGACACGTGCTAGGCAGCTGATTCCTCCAGAATCGAGCCCGAGACGACGCTGGCCTTGTGGGCGCTGCTGTGCCACTACCCCCGGGGGGTGAGAGCTGCGGTCCACACTGAGGGTGCAGGGTGCCACACACGGCGGTGGCAGGCCGGGCACCACGTCGCTCTGGGCCCTCTCCCCCCAGAGGACCTCGTGCTGCTGCCGCCACGGGGCTGGAGCACCACCGAGGGCCTCGTGACCCACAGGCCTGCTGGCCCCGTAGCTGTAGGACCGGGACCCGTGGCAGGAGGTATCTGAGCCGCAGCTGGATCCGGCCCCCAGCTGCCCGGTGGGTGGCGAGGGCCCCACATCCGGCCTGCAGGAGCTCACGCCCCAGCTCCTACCGCCCAGCGGCTCCCCAGCTGTCCTGCACCCCCACTTCCCCTGTGGGTCACGGAGTGAATGGGGTCCTGCACAGAGCCTGGTGCACATGAGCACCCAGTAGGGGAGGGCGGTGGCGGCCACAGAGATGGTGACCAAGAGGAATGGCCACCACGACCCCCGTGAGGCCTCACTCCCTGAGGTCGGGGTGGGGGAGGGGTCTGCAGGCAGGAGGGGCCTGTGCACCCCCAGCCCCGGGTTCCTGTGCTGTCAGAAGGCCCTGGATTCCTGCACCCTGTCTTGGGAGGTCCCCTGGGAATGGCCATTCAGAGACCAGGAGGCTGCATGGGCTCCTTCCCCGGAGAGCTGGGGGTCCGGGGGGGGGCAGGAAGGACAGGGTGGGCGTGAGCTGATGCGTGGCGACTCCCACGGTCAGACTTCACAGCAGCAGGACTGCCACCCCGGCCTCCCACGCTGTGCCAGCCCCCAGCTCAGTATCACCACTGACCCGGGGCCCTCTCACAGACACACACACACGTACTAGGTCACACAGTCACACACACGTACTAAGTCACACAGTCGCACCCATGTACAAGGTCACAGTCACACACACATGTACAAGGTCACAGTCACACAGACATACAAGTACAAGGTCATACACACGTACAAGGTCACAGACACACGTGTACAAGGTCACAGACACATGTACAAGGTCACACAGACACACAGACGTGCAAGGTCACACAGACACACACATATTAGGTCATACAGAGACACACACATGTACAAGGTCATACAGTCACACAAAGAGACACGTGTACAAGGTCAGTCACACAGGACCTCACACACAATGTCACACACGTTCATACACACAGACCCTCACACTGTCACACGTATACAGACACACACACATGTACACACACATACAAGGTCACAGTCACACAGAGACACACACATGTACAAGGTGATAGACACATGTATGTACAAGGTCACGCGTGTACAAGGACATACAGAGACACACATATGTACAAGGTCACAGTCACACAAGGTCACACAGTCACACACAGACACACATGTACAAGGTCAGTCACACAGGACCTCACACACAAGGTCACACACATACATACACACAGGCCCTCACACTGTCACAGCATACAGACACACGCACAAGGTCACAGCCACACAAGACATCACAAGTACACCCCCACGCCCCCGCCTCCGGGATCGAGCCCTCCCCTCGCTCGCCGGGTCGAAGACTCCAGCACCCCGCGGACAAGTCCTGCAGTCGGTGACTCCGCCTGGGGCCGCCCACTCCCCCGGCCGGCCGGGGTCACGCACATCCTGGGCGCGGTGCTGGCTGAGGAGCGGGCACAGCCAGCGGCCCAGCCTGCCGTGTTCTCCCACTGCCAGGGGCCCTGCCGTCCCACCGGGGCCCCGCGTGGCCAGCGGCAGGCCCAGGACACGAGGGGGCGGCGCACAGAGCCCCGCTAACCCCGCCTCTCCCTCCGCAGGAGCTACGGGGCGCTCACGCACTGCACGCAGCAGGTGGCGGCCCAGCTCGGCTGCTTCTGGCCCAACGCGGAGGTGGACAAGTTCTTCGTGGCCGTCCACCAGCACTACTTCCGGAGCTGCCCGGTCTCGGGCAGGGCCGTGCACGACCCGCCCAGCAGTGTCCTCTGCCCCTTCATCGTGGTGCCCATCGTGGTGACCCTGCTGGTGACGGCGCTGGTGGTCTGGCGGAGCAAGCGCACGGAGGGCATCGTGTAGGCGGCCGCAGCCGCTTCCCGGGGCAGAGCTGACCCCCACCCCGCGCCCCTGCCTCCTGCTGAGAACTAACAGGGCTTGGGGGCAGTGGTGGCTCCGCGCCCCGCGGCGGGGGAGGGGGCAGTGTCCGGCTCCACGCCGCAGCCTGCTGGTAGACCACCCCCTGTTCTGCCTGCAGACAGCTCCGTGGGACGGACGGACACGCAGCCGTGCTGGGGGCGAGCAGTGGTGATTAAAAAGGTGTTCCTGAGTGTGGGCAGCGTTGTTATTCCTGGGCCAGCCTGGTGGGAGACCTCTGATGGGGGCGACATCTGAGGCCCCCAGTGCCCCCCAGGGACAGGCACCCCCAATCCCACGACACCACCTGCAGCCAGGGCACAGGGCCCTGAGACTTGCGGCAGAGAGGGCCAGGCTGCTGCCCTCCCCACCGAGGTCACCCCACCAGCCTCTTCCCTGGGGGTCCCCAAGGGTTCGTCCCTCCCCCATCACCCTCTTCTCAAACCCCCGTCTTGGAGCTGGACTTCCGGAAGCTTCTGGGTGCCTGAAGGGACCCCCCACTAGTCTGGCCAGGGTGACCCCAAGTCTGGATCCCGGCCCCGGAAGCCCCCCAGCCTGTCCCAGGACGCGTCCCTTCTCTGACTGGCGGGTGTCCATGCCCCATCCATGACGGGGTGACCACTCCCTCTGCTCGCAGGCTGGCTGCGTGAGAACACGGCCCAGTGCCCTTACTGTCTTAGCTGTTCAGCCAAGCATAGCACAGCCACCTGCAGCCAGCCTGGACCCCAGCCCCTGAGGCTGCCCCCAGTGCACCGTCCCTGTGTGTCACCCCCTCTGGTGGCTGCCAGGAGAGGGTGGTCCTGCACAGCCCCGCCCCAATCCAGAGCTGTCGTGGGCCCAGAGAGGACAGGGCATTCCCTGACCCGGCTTCTCTGGGCTTCTCCTACTGAACTGTGGCCGTGGTGGGGTCCCCAGGACACTGGGCCTGGCCGCCCCTGGCCTGTGGTCAGAAAAGGAGCTGCAGCTCCCTGCTGGTGGGGACACGTCCTCAGAAGTGTCACCCTGCTCTCTGGGGAGTCCAGTGTCCTTATCCAAGCCACAGACCGCCATTGCCACGCTGGGCCCAGCTCCAGGATGGGAGTGCCCGGGAGTGCAGAGCAAGGGACCCCATCGGCCAGCGGCCTGAACCGCTAGGAAACAAAATGAACAGGACCACAGGACCAGCACTGGCGCTTGCGTGGGCTGGGAGTCTGTGCATGAAGCTGTCAGAGCAGCCCCAGGGGAGGCTCCGGCACTCTTGCCGTTTAACACCAGAGGGAACCGGTTCACGGCATTGCGCGGGTTACGTAAGGATCCCTCTTGCGAATAGAATTTCCTGAGAGACCTGCGCCAGGGGACAGAGGGGGGCCAGGAAAGCCGGCGGGTACCCCTCGTGTGCCCCAGCTCTGCTGCCTGGTGCCCCCAGCTGGTGGGGGACCGACCGGCCTTGCCCAGAGCCGCCTGAGCAGTGTGGGAAGGGGACCCGGCCCTCTCTGGGCAGGAAGGGAGGGAGCCGGGCCCAGCCCACCTTCCTGGACAGGAGCCCAAAGGCTCAAAATGCTTGTTCCAGCGACTTGCCGCCTGGGACCTTATCCCCAGGTGTCACTAGAGGTGGACAACAGGGTCCTCTGGGGATCCCTCCCCTCGGGGAAGCTGGTAAGACAGTGGGGGCCTGTGGATGCCGCCACCCGCTGCCTGTGTCCCCTGCAGTCACATCGCCTTAGGGTCCACCCCATTACCCCCTGCAGCCCTCGCTGCCCCTCCACTGCGCTGGCTCCACACCCCCTTCCAAGGGACTGGGGAGGGGCCTGCAGGGACACAAGTCAGCCCCTCGCCACAGCCCTCCCCCGCCCAGCCACCAGGTGCCACTCAGGAGGCGGCCACCCCCTCCCCCCAGCTGGCCCTGGGCAGTGGAGGGAGAGGGAACCTAAGCAGCAGTGCCAAGAGACCGCACGAGGACAGGCGGCTGCTTTAGATCAGCGTGGCAGCCGCGCATTCCTGCCGGCCGAGCGAGGCCGGAGCAGGGAGGCGCGGGCGGGGGTGGCCTCGGGGGAGACTCCCGAGAGACTCTGGAGCGGGGGCATTCCAGGGCACACTTCATCTTGCCTCGTTTGCTTGGGAAAATGGACAGCGCGCCGCTCCCCGAGGCCTCTGTTCCCGACACACTGCTATTTCTTATTTCTTTTTCCTGGTGTGTTTTTTTTTTTTTTTTTTCCCTCCATCCAGAAATCAGAGCTGAGGAAAGACAAAGACAGAAGCAGACATTTTTCTTAATTTACGTGGGTCAGCCCTCAGGAGAGCAGGGGAGAGGCAGAGCGGTTAGGGAACGCGAGAGGCGGCAGGACCGGCTGCGGGGGGCAGGGGAGGCACAGGGCGGAGAGCACAGCCCAGGCCTGACCCCGAGGCCGGCCACGGAACAGGAGGGTGTCCAGCCGCCGTGCAGGGGTTCAGGGGATGAGGCTCCCCTTCCCTCTGCTCTCCTGGCCTTCAGCCTGGAGGTTCTGTCCATCGTGACGGGAGACCGAGGCACAGAGGGGTACATGCACAGGGGTCTCCCGAGCTTGGGGGCCAGAACCAGGATTTGAAGCTGGGTCTCTCTGACCCCAGGGTCCCCAGAGCCCCCAGGCCACTGTCCTGCTGCTCCGGGTACGGGGCAGTGGAGAACAATCCAGAACTGGGATTCGAGGATGGCGAGGGCAGGGAGAAGCCGAGTGTGGCACGTCCTACAGCCCTGAGTCCAGACGGGGCCCTCTGCGGGCCCCGGCCCCTTCCTGCCCAAGCTGCCCCACGGCCACCTCAGCTCTGCAGGTGCCCAACACAGCAGCTCCCACAGCCGGTCCTCGCAGCCACACCTCTGGCCCCCTAGCAAGCCCTCTGGTCCTGCAGGTGCAAGGACAGCTCTGGGTCTTACCTGGCAGAAGAAACTGGGGAGCTGTGCCCGTCTGTCACACCGCACCTCTCAGCAGAGCTTCCCGAGAGGGGAGTGGGGTGAGCGAGTCACCTGCACCTGCACCCCAGGAGGGCCGAGTGGCTCAGCCCCCTCCCAGGAGGAGCTGCGAGCAAACGAGGAGACAGGAGCTGCTCAGCTGAGGGAGGAGTCTGCAGTGTCCCCAGGGCACGGAGCCACGGGGCAGCCGCCCAGGGCAAGGCTTTGCCGTCCACAGCCCCTCACCAGGGCAAGGCTTTGCCGTCCACAGCCCCTCACCAGGGCAAGGCTTTGCCGTCCACAGCCCCTCGCCTTATGCCAAGGGTGCTGGCAGGACTGCCCTCCCACTGCCCTTCTTTCCACACACCCCCACTTTTTAATTTTTTTAAACCATGCTCCAGACTGACACCAACAGGAGGGGGAGGGGCCGATGCTGTGGAGCACTGGGTTCTGTCTACACTCCCAATGCCGGCACCCCATATCACAGTGCTGATCTGAGTCCCGACGGCCCCGCTTCCGACCCACCTCCCCGCTGGTGCACCAGTGAAGGCCGCAGACGAAGACCCAAGTGCCTGGGCCCCTGCACACATGGGAGACCCCGAAGAAGCTCCCGGCTTCAGACCAGCCCAGCTCCAGCCTCTGTGGCCATCTGGGGAGTGAAAGAGTGGATGGAGAATCCCTGCCACCCTCCTCTTTATCTTTTTAAGATGAATTATCTGAAAGGCAAAGGGGAGAGGGAGAGGGAGAGACAGAGAGAGATCTCCCATCCACTGCTTCACTCTGCAAATGGCCACGTTGGTGGGGCTGGGCCAGACTGAAGCCAAGAGCTTCATCCAGGTCTCCCACGTGGGTGAAGGATCCAAGCACGTGGGCCGTCCTCCACTGCTTTCCCAGGCCATTAGCAGGGAGCTGGATCGGAAGTGGAGCAGCCGGGACTCGAATCTTTGCCCATATGGGATGCCGGTGTTGCAGGCAGTGGCCCCCAGAGAGCTTCTAACGCTTGAACTGCACGCAGCACACAGCAGGTGCACCCAAGGCGTGAACCCCTTAACTGCGGCAAAGAAATCCCAGAGTCTCAGCATCAGCTGGTTCCCGTTCACGCCCGTGCTCCCCTGCTTCCTGTCATCAGGCCCAGTGCTCCTTGAAGACAACTCTTCCTACTATAGGAGCAGCCTCTGCACTGCAGAAGACGCAAACGGGCCGGCGTGGTGGCACAGCCGCTACGTCACCGCTCGGGATGCCTGCGTCCCCGGGAGTGCTGGTGCCGGTCAGCCCCACGCTTCCTGTCCAGCCTCCTGCTAACGTGCCGGGGGGCAGCAGGTGAGGGCTCAAGTGCCTGGACCCCCGCCCCCAGCGTGGGAGACCCTGATGGCGCTCCAGGCTCCTGGGGAGTGAACCAGTGGATGGAAGACTCATTCTCTCTCTCTCCCTCGCCCACTTCAAAGAAAATGAGTACATTTCTAAAAAGAAAACACAACTAAACAAAATAAACACACCAAAGCCTCAGGGCCTACCACTCTGTTTCGAGAGTACATTTTGGCACACCCTCCTCCGAGCCTTCACTCACGCCAGGATAGACGGACCTCAAACAAACCAAAAGAGGTCTCCTCCTCTTCGCGAGTTATTTTTCCTGCTTCGTGAGTTACTTTTTCAACTAAACAAATAATCTGTGCGGTTTTTATGACCTCCTGGAGCTGGGGTTTTTCCTGCATTGCTTGTCGCTGTTTATAAACAGTGCTCTGATGTGCACTTCCTCGTTCTCTTCTTAAAATAAATATTTAGAAGTGGGATGCTTGGGTCAAGGAGACCCTCTACTCCCCATGAGCAGGGCCACACCCGTTTGCATCGCCGCCCCCCCGCCACGGCCACGCGGACGATGGGAGCTGCTTCTGGCTCACGTTTGCCACAACTAGGGACCGTTTCTTCTCAAAGGACAGGAGTCGGGCAGACGCTGGACCCGACAGTGACGACGGCAGCTGGGACACCCACGTCCCACCGCACGGGGCCTCGTCCCACCCGGCTGCCGTTCCCGACTCGGGCCGCTGGGCTCCTGGCAGCCAAAGAGGAGACCTGGGTTGTGTTCCCAGCTGCTGTTTCTCCCACATCCCCGGCCCTGGGGAATCTGGGGAGTGAACCAGCTCTTGTTCTCCCTCTCTCCTCCCCACAACCAGAAATAAAGATTAGAAAATAACGAGACCCATTTCCATGTACCATCTTAGCAAAAGTACAGGAGTGATAAAATCCACTATGGCAATATTGGGGTGCAAAGGATCTGAACCCTTTAGACTT